TTGCAAGACTACAAGACCAAGTAAAAGACCATAGTATAATAAATGTCTTTTATTATCCAGTAAGCATGTAATTACATTGTAAGGCCCAACTTATGAGGTCATACAAAGTTAAGTGGGGAATGAAATTAGGTATGAAAGAGTTTATTATCTTCTATCTCTCCGATTTCTTTCTCTTTCTACCTCCTTTTCTCTTCTTCTAAAATTGAGCGTTACACAAACCTCTATTGATGGCCTCACCAAGCTCAAAACCACCAGCTAAAGAGAGACAATGATCTTTTCACACACTTATCTTCAAGGGACGCGCAAAAGATGAAAGTTACTCACAAGATGATTATGAACAACTTTGGTGTTCAAAGTTTTCTCTAAAGATGTCTCTAAACCAAAATAGAAATTCAACCTTTCAAATGGTTCACCAATGAGTCATTGTTCTGCTAAGGAAGAAGGAGGGTTGTGTGAGCTGCTGCCAGGAGAGGGAAAATGCAAAGGGAAGAGTGTTTAAGTGACTTTGATTGCCACCTAGGCACATATAAGACGAAATACCACTTAACTCACTCATTTAACCCACTAATCATCAATTAATTCATGAATCATCCAATTAATCCGCAATTCAATATTCACTAAAGTCCATTAAATTACTTTAACAGATGAATCTAAAATTTTCCAATAATTTGGTGGAATCACAATTTTATCCCTAGTTGTGCATTATCAGTACGTTTCCCTAAAAATCACCAAATAATTTCAATAATCATTTTTCTTAATTCTAGATATCTCTTTCAACATATATCCAATCCTAGATCCATAATCTCATTTTTGAATTACCCGATAGAATTATACCACAATATTTTATCTAGTAAAAATCACTATTCATCAAATTTCTCGAAACGTATCTGTCCACTCAAATTTCGTTTTGAATCCATTTCCAGTATTATTTTCATCAAATAAGATCTAATTTTACCATTTCACAGATCAGGATTATGTATTTGTCAAATTACCATTTTACACTTCGTGTATATTTTAACCTAAAACTCAGGATTTTCACTAAATACACTATCTAATCCTCAATTTAATTATTAAAATACATTTCAAATATGTGAGGCGTTATACGACATAAGGACAATATGAAACTCCAGTCTTTCATAACTCCCCAAGCTTTAAGAACACGACGTCTCCAAAGTGAGCACTGGAGGGGAGGGGAAGGTGGAATAATTTGAGGAGCAATGACAACCCCGACAATTGAAGTACCGGCTGTGATATCAAGTATTCTTTTCTTTTGAACCTCATCGTCAAAGTCGGTATTAACTGACTTTCCTTTGGTTGAGCTCTTCTTGATGAACTTACAGTAGTCAAAACTCGTCATGTAGGCTGCAAGAACAACAAATTATCAGAAATTAAATTAAAGACCTAACAGACCCGGTAAAGTCGGGATAACATACCAAATTCTTTATGGAGATCGGCTCTAAACTTATTCACCATCCGACTTAAGTCGAAGATGGCATACTCTTTGACGTGCGCCATCAAGACGCTGGCACCTAGCAGCTCAGAGTCGGTAAGTTACGACTCAAGCGTCGAATAATTCTTGGGTTCCTTAAGATAATGACGATGGGTCCAATAAAAAGGAAACTTAACCTTTAGTCTCCCATCTTGATGCACCCCACTCACAAACCACGACTGGCAGCCGAGATGAAACTCGACCTTAAAAAACTGGTCCTTAAAATGCTTGAAGGATTGAGTAAACACTCCAAATATACCGCGATCAGGCACGCCACAAAGGGTAACCCAGTCTTTCCTCTCTTTAGGCTCGGACCCCGTGCGAGAAGTGTACACTTTAAATAGATGTAGGACGAGGGGGACAGTACAAGGAATATACAAATACGTGCACACTTGCTCAAAGTCCCGAACAAAAGCCCAAGAGTTAGGATGAAGTTGAGTGAGGACAACTCGAAGACGGTGTAGTAAGGCCATTTGAAATTTGGAAAGTGGAAGTCGAATTCCCACCTTAGTAACTAAGTCTTTATAAAAGAAGAAAAAATAGGGCTCGTTTTTAGCCCAACCTACGCACACCGACACGTCTGCAACAACCGAGATAAGATCCACTCTCGCAGTGTCTCCTATTGGAAGCTCGACAATCTCTTCGGCCGGCATACGAAACCGCATATTCAGAACCTCTTGTAAAATCCAAGTATAGTCATTTTCCTGATCTTTATCAAATGGTTGCGCCATAGGTAACCTGAAACAAGAAAGCTCGAAGTCAGCACGACAATTAGATGCGCCCGAGTCCCTTGGAGCCAAGCCAACCTTTAACACATTTAGTTTAAAATCGAACAAAGAATAAGACTCATCTGAGATGTCAATTGGGCAAGATGGGTCCCTAGTCAGATAAGAGCTCAGGATCAGACTCGCTGAAGAACTTGGTTTTACTTTCTTAACCGGATTAAGGAACTCAATTGAAAGTGTATTGGCCGGGATATGAGAGAAAGAAATGAATTCCCGACTTGGGTGCCCACATGTCCGAGGTCTTAAACCTTGCATTTTGCCTTGAACGGTGGATGCGGTGCAACCTCGCCCTCATTGGGAAGAGGGAGGCCTTTTTCTACCTCCCCCACACCGGCCACTGCGGAGGAGTAACTAGAGTTTCTCCTCCTCTATATAATCTTCTCCCTAAAACCAGAAACGAATTGCCTTAGGCAGTTTATGGACCAACTCATTTTCTTTGAAATCCTGATTGTTTCCATCTCGACCACGGGCTGAACAAGGATTTTGTCCAGAAGTTCTCATCTCAACTTAGAGAACCACTCACCTTCCCCAAACCAACAATTACAAAGAAATTCCCCAGGATTTTAGTCCAGAAAGGAAATAGAAAGGGTTCTCAAAAGAGAATAATCCTAGTAACATTCTCACTCGATTTGAACGACACTCAAGAACACTCTCACTCGATTTGAATGACACTCAGAAAGCCAGAAGTAGATCAAATCGACAACGCACAAAGGAAAAGAGTGTTTGAAAGATACCTGTTTGTTGGAAAAGATGATGACGAGGGTGCAAGAATTTCTAGAGGAACTTCAACTAGAATGAGAAACACAGAGGAAACCCATGAAGAACCGAATGAAACGACTAAGACTTGAAATGAACTTAAACGTAAAGATATGAATATGTGAAAACCCCTAGGCGCGAAGCTGAAAAACTAGGGGTATGAAAGTAATTCCACCAACTTATCATATTAATGCTCGTTATCATTCCCTACGAAACGCGAGGGTGGTTTACAAGCCTCGACACACGAACCTCTAATCAGTAGCTAACACGTGGACTTGTGTAATTGCCAAAGAAATGGGTAGAAGGCAGAAAGTCACGTTGAGGTGATCGCATGACAGGGGCCAACATCGAAATAAGCCCAACCTCACCACTATAACCACTTAAAAGCCAAATTCGAATCCCTCATCTCGGTCCGAACATTGAAAACCAAGGGCAACATATGAAGACGACCTCATAGAAGTCCTTTAAACGTTTCAAGCAAAAACAAAGCTAACCACGATCAACGTGTACCAACTCGATCGCGAGTGAGCCCCGATCACTCTGCACAGTTCAGTTACTCCCAGATATTTAGCAGACCATTTAATCCCGGCAATCCGAGCTTTCGAACTGCCGGGCTGGGAGGGCAATGAGAGATCGATAGTGTGAGGGAATGAGAGAGCTATAGAGGTATTTATCGGTGGAGGGAGCGGGTTCAATACTTGTTGATTCAAATTGTCATGGACTAAATCCATATCTCAATAACCTATCCAACAGAAGATTGAGACTTATCCTAATAATATCCAAACTACCAGAGGATCAAGAAATGAGATTCCTATCCCAATAGTGATGCTAAATGGCTAACAACCTGAAAGGTATCTAAAGCTCAAACCCAACAAGGTAAACTCTATAAGTAGAGACTAAAGACCTCAGGTACTCACTTTTGACTCATTTATTCTATTTCCATCAATGTGCACACACATCCACATCCACATCTTGGCTATACGCTTGTTCTTTGTGCGGAGTGATTGCTACATTGGTTATATGCTCGTACGATATCTCACTCTTATGAATATCTCTGAGCACATGGATCCATCACCTATACGATAAACATTCTCAGTCCACTCAGATCAAACACAAATGAATACTGCGGGGGAAGGGGTGTCAGCAACACTTATTTCAATAAAAAGATTATATAAAGTTTCTTGGTGAGTTCGCGAAACTTAAAGGTAAAAAGAAAAAAAAAATTCAAACCAGTGTTGTGGGTTTTCAAAAATAAAATAAAATTAAAGAATTTATCATGAGATGTCCGCAAATTTGATTAATTTTTTTTTTAAGTAGTTCTATGGGAGCAGCCCAGGAGGAGAATGCCCCCATCGAAAAATAATTTGAAGACATACAAACGTGTAAATACACATGGAGAGGATCCCAAATAATGAAACAGCCTACATAACATTTGTGTTAACCATGTATTTTGGCTCCGAAAGTTTGGTTCAAGCTCCACATGTATCCATTAGCGTAGAACCAAAGTAAGATAGCTGTTTTTATCATGCATGTGGTATCAGTCGATATATGATTTCAGATCTAGAATTATAAGTTAAAAATAGTCTGTTCTTATGCTATGTTTGATGTCGATGAACAAGTCGCGAGAAGATTTTAAAAAGTTTATTTATTTAAATAAATCAAGTGTGAGGCCTATGCAATGATAATAATTGTTCTTATTTTTTTAAAAAAAAGTAACAAGTAAAACCTAAAAGCACTAAAGACTAAAATCATATTTAATCCAAAATTAGCCTCATTTTCAATTTAGAATAGATGTTCAAATTCAAAAGGACAGGAAGCGCACAATTTTTTTATAGGAAAACAGAACATGTCATATAACAACAACGCTGGAATTTTTTTCCAAATGCCCAAAGTAATGCTGAACAAAAATACGAACAAATCAAATACAACTTTGCTATTACTCTAATCTATCATTATTTTGCAACAAGTTTTGAATCTCCTTCGTAGCAAATAACAGCAATAATAATACCCCTTCCGTCAATTCGGATGTATGCCACTTCATGAATTCTATTTAGTATTTACCACGTTGGAATTAACAGTAACCAAGGAGAATAGACAGTGGGCATGCAAAGTGAGTTAACCGTGAAATACTTTGTCCCAAGTAATTGCTAAAGTACTAATTTATGCGGCAAAGATTTTAATTAGTAGCATATTAGATAGAAAGATTAAATTTAACAAAACTCCAGAGACCAAAGAACTGAGAAATATTTTCCTAACATTATAATTTAACACCACATAATATAGAGAGAGTAAAAAGTTTCTACTCTCCAGGTGCAGAGATGCCTTGCTTCAGTCTATCCTTTTTCATCTTCTTCTTTGAGATTGGCTTCTTTTTTCTAGGAGGGAGGGTCTTCTGTGCATATGTGTAGAGTACATAATTTCCAACGAGGAATACCAACAGCAACCCAACAATAACCAGGAGAACAATTAATCCTGGGTTGAACCCTTTTGAAGCAGAATCCTTAATCACATTGCCCTAAGTGTAAAGAAAACGAGACACTTCCATAAGGCCACATGAAAGAGCACTCAAGAAAAAGAAATTGCAAAAGTAATAATCAATATACAGGGATTTATTTTAAAAAGTAAATAGAATTGCAATTCACCACAACTAACAATTGTCAAAAGCCTTTCAAGCATATATGATGACATGCAAATTATAGCTTTTTTTCCTAAAGGCGATCCTTGATTTATTGCAAGCGAGGAATGACCAGGGGCAGAGCCCCGGCCTAGCGTTGGTGCCCCCCCCCCCAAAAAAAATAATTGAAAAACAATTTTTTAACGTGGTAAATGGAAATGGAAGAAGAGGAAGGGTTCTTCTTCTTCTTGGGTTTGGGTATCGGAGGGCAATGTGAGAACTGGAGAGGAAGAACAGGAGAAAAAGAGGTCTTGGTCGGCAAATTTAGTAAGGGCATCGCCGATGTCCCTGAGGGAGTGGAAGCAAGCGACATGGGATGCGGCGAGAGCGTAGAGTTGTTCAGATGCGGCTTTGAGTAACTCCTTTCGCTCTCTGCATAGTGTCACCAGAGGAAGGTCCTCCACCTTGGAGCCTCCACAGCCCATGTCAATCGAAGAACACAATACCCAAAACGATAAATTGGGTTATTGATGTTGTTGTTGTTGTTGGAGTGGAAGAAGGAGAACAAGACTGGTTGAGGTTCACAGTGGGTCATGATGTCTGTGCCTGGGCTTTCAAATGCAGCAATGGAAAACGAAGCATAATGAATGAGAAAGCTAACAACTTTATGACCAATTACCAAGTCTCCCGCAAATGGGCAGAAGTTTATGACCAATGACCAAGGACCGAAGCCATGAATTTATTTTTTCCTTCAGCAGAACTTCATTTTTATTTTTTAAAGTCCACAAAACTACTTTATGATTGCACTTGCTTGAGATTGGTGATAAAGGTTTATGAAATTCGAATATTTGAAAAGGCTACTTTGATACCCAAAGTATGTTTATATAATTGCAAGCTGACTTAAACAGATTTTATCAGAAAAGATAAACTTCCAACTACTTTAAATGGTAAACTGAAATTGAAGGAAATTATAATTACTAGTTAGAAGGCTCAAAACTAAGTCATACAAACAGAACAAGTCAAATTTCGAAACACTAAGAATACTAGAAGCTTGTTCAGAACGTCATTCCCCAATTTTAAAACACAAAGTGGTCTTAATCAAATCCTATTAGTTGAACTCGAAACATTGAATGTTAATATATTAAACTGAAATTTCTTAATTCAGTATAGAATTTTATGCATCCCAGAAAAGGTAACTCTTTAAAATGTATGTCCCATTTCATTGAGAGCTGAGAGAAAAGAAAATGTTAAAAAAAGAGCTTCGATGAGTGTTCAAATCACCAGAGCCATTTCCATATTATTTAAACTGCATGCGTTTTTTGAACACAGCAGCAATGCCCTTTTCTGCTCTAAATTCATGTTAGCATCTAAAACATGGATTGGCATAAACTAAAATAAAGATGCATTGAACAAATACAAATGTTTAACACCACACATCAAATTCAAGCAGATAGTCATGACTCAATCGTTAAATTTGAGAACAAACAAAATGCCTACAAATTTAAAAATTAATTAATTTTTTTTTCAGAATATCAATAACTGTAAGCACAACATTTGCAATTACAAGAATTTAAAAAAAAAAAAAATGAATAAAATCCAAGGATCTGATCTGAGCTTCAATTTAAGATCCGTTTTAATTCATCATTCATTTTCTTTTTAAAAAAAGAAGAAGAAGAAGGAAAGGGGTTTTGACTTTGAGTGTTTGATGGAAGATCTAAATAAGAATGGAAGATGAAATTGAAGGAACGTACCACGCGATCGAATGAAGGAGGGACTTTATCGGCGAATTCAAAGTCATCGGCCATTGATTAGCGGCGGAATGAAACAAATCTACGGCGGAGCTGTGGCTGGGTCTAGCTCGGCCAAAATCGGAGGTTAGGTGGTGTTTATTCTGTTTTGAACCAAACACAGATGGGTACTCTAGAACCTCCCAGAATATCACACACATTTATACACTCCTTTTTTTTTTTAATGGAAAAAAAAAGTTACGACTTTCTATTCTTCTTAAGATTCATCTTAATTATGAAATGTAACAAGGGAACGGATTCACAGAAGTTTACAACTCTTATTTATAATTAATTTAATCACCGTTAATTTCCGTCAATCTAACGATTATAATTTATTGAAAATTAATAACATTTATTATGTTACATTTATTAATTCCCAATAAATTATAGCCCTTAAATTGATGACAATCAACGTGATTAAATTAGTTGTAAAAGTTATAAACTTTTTTGGTGGCAAGTGAATCATTCTCCAAATATTAAATAGTTTTTATGTTTTTCAAATAACTTTTTCATGTATACTCCTTTATCTATTTTCAATATTGTAAGATTAAAATCTCAACTCATTCTTCTATTAAGATTCTGATAGAGAAGTAGGTAAGTTAAGCATGAAAAATAGTAGACATATATAATATCCTATATATTTTTAATGAGTATTAGGAAGATTATTAAATGAATATTTTAGGATGATATAATAAAACTCTTCAGAAAATTATTGCAATTCCTTCTTTTAGATGAAGATTTTTTTTTTTTTATTCTAGTCCATTTAGTATTAAATGAATGCTTAGTTTTGATAAATTTTGATTATAATTTACTTTGAGTTTTTTATTAAACTAATTAAATTAAACTTTTAACTACAATAAGGGAAAATGAAAAATAAAGGAAGTGTTTTTGGTTCTTAATAATTAATAACTAATATTTCTTTATGTGTCTTATTAATTAAAATAGTTCTTTTTCCAATTTAATTAAAAAGGACATTATTAGTATATATTTGATAAAACTTTTAAATTTTAAAAAATAACTTGCATTATCATCTTCAATTTTAAGAACAAATAAATTAATACAAAGCACGTACTTTTTAATCAAGCTAGTTTATTGGATTTAAATTTATCGTCTCATTTTTTTATCTCCTTCTTTTATATCTCGAATAGAATAATTGTGATTTAACAAATATATATATATATATATATATATATATATATATATATATATATATATATATCTTTCGAATGATAATATTTTCAGTCTTAGATGTCAATTTATTTATTTTTTGTTAAGTTACCATATTAAATTAAATAAACAAAAAAAAAAGGACAAGAAAAAGCACAAAACTTTCAATTCCCTGTTCAGATTGGTCAAGTCATTAATTGATTCAAACTTTAATTTTGTGGAAAGCTGGCCTAATTCGAAGAAATTTTCAGATTAGAATTTGTCTAATTTAGACTGTTCAATTGAGTGAATTTGGACAGGCCAAGTCAAACTTATCCAATTGTTCCTGCAAGTAGAATCCGAGTCATAAAAAAATAAAATTATCTTCATAAGCAGGTAACGCAGTGTTTAATCGTTGGCCTCAAACAAATTAATACACAAAGAAATCCTTTTATTCAACGTATTCAATCTCCTTCTCCTAAGATTAGAATACAAAAAAGGTGAAATTCTATTAAATACACTTGTTAGACGAAACTCTCGTATTACGTTATTACCACATGTCAGGTAATTGGGAAAACTACTCTTATTCTATATTCTATTTTATATGTGATAACTTTTTCTCCTACACATTCTTTGATAATTGTGTCACATTTTTCTTTTCTTTTCTTTTTTATTTTTCAGGTGATAGAGCTCACAAATTTATCTCTATGACATGAGATACTTTATCTTCTTTAACATGAGATTAATAAAACCCCACATAATTATGTAATCTCTCTCTCTTTTTTTTTTTGGTACACTAATAAGTTGAATAAGTATTTTTTTTTCTTGAGTTTCGTAAAGGTATTTTTTAGCCAAAAGTCGATGACTAAATTTTTGTAGGCGTAAAAATTATTGAAGTGAGCTTTACCTCTATTAATAAAGACTTTTCCATACACACGATCAGAAATTGTATCGCTGTCAACATGCTTAAATGCTTAAAGGACCCAATCATCTACTGCCCGAATTTGCTGGTAAGTAAAATATGTCTTAGACCCAATTGCTTATTGTACTGAATAATATAACTGAGTACCCACCCATTTATTTTCTATTAATTGAGTTAACTTGTACATTATAATCCATCCAAATCAAACATAATTCATGCACAAAAAGGCTAGCGTATCTAATTGGCATTGACGTAGCGACAATCTTTTCTAATTTCACCCTGGTCTCTTGTGAGAGGATTGTTCTCTGATAACAAGAGAATGGCCCTTGAGAACTGTTGGTAGAAATATCCATTGTCTTGGGCCATCTTTTGGACATAAGGTGAGGTTCTTGGGTCACTGGCCAGTTCTTCATCCACAGTGAGCAAGCCCTTGTGTTGTAAGATGTTCTTGTAGTAGTTGTTGTCAATGATCATGGGTGTTTTCAGGTCGTTCCTCGCATATTGGACAGCCTTTGGATCTGGATTAGGTGTTGGGCACCGTTTTTTAAGGTACTCAGCGTATGCAGGGTCCAGCGTTTTGTCAACTGTGGGGTATAGCCTGTGCACCATATTCATGCAGTGAGTTCTTCCCACTGAATGAGCTCCTGCATCAACAAATGGCTTAATTGGATTAATCCATGAAATGGGTTTTGCTAAAGAACAAGGTTAGTCCTAGGCTTTCTAAAGCACACTAATTCTTTAGCTAAGGATAACAAGAAATAATATAAAATTATTAATATGCACTCACATAATAATTTAATTTTTGAAAGATTTGATTTTTGACATAGAATTAGAGTTTTTATCATTGAGTCTGCATGGGACAAATGAGTATGTGCATTGTCAATACTTGAAACCCAAAAAAAAAAAAAAATGTAAGATGGAACTAATTAGAAATATAATATAAAAATCATTCATTTTATGTGTCTTCACCCATTATCTAGTTTTGGAAGAATTGGTTCATGAAACTTCTTTCTGGGTCAAACATTTTTATTGGTTATATATTCTATATTGATATTAAAACCACAAATATATTAAGAGATCTATTATTCTTATGTTACATAAGAAAAAATTTATCTCCTACACACACAAATTTAAGATAGATTTCACTCTATTTTTTTTTCTCTCCCTCTGAAAATGGACCCCACCTACATAAATAAGTTGTAAGAATTATTATCTCTTGCTGCATAAGAAATATAATAAAGGCAGAATATTCATTTTATTAGCATAAATTTATTATACGACTAAATTTCATATTGGTGGCCTAGTGGGATTTGATTATATATAGCTACAACAAATTAGAGCATTGTCTTGGCTTCTGCCTAAAAGTTTAGGTATCCTTCCACACAATAGTAATTTCGTTGAAGTAATCAAAGGTACTTAACTACTTATTATATTTATGTTTGACTTTTTGAAGGGTTTTCAATTGATGAAATAGACTATGTCAATTAGGGGAATGTTATACCTAAAAGAGCAACCGTGGCCTCAACGTCAATGCCAATGGCTTGAAAACGAGACAGCACTAAGGATATGGAATCATTGTGGTTGGGAATGAAGTCTTCCACCACTGTTGCATAGCTTTCTTTGCTATCCCTTCGTCCAGTCTTCATTTCAATGCTTGGGCCTCCCAACTGCGCGCAACAACATCCATACCCAACATTAAACCATTTTCCAAATTATTGATCCACTAATAAATTTTGACCTTTATTTCTTTTTAATTTTCTTTTTGTTGGTCAAAATGACCCAACGGGCAGATTGAGTAGGTAGAGAAAGAATTTGAGTTTGATTCTCATCAAATACATTTTTTAATAATTTTAATTGTGACTAAGTCCTAAGTCAGGATTAATCTTATAACTAACTCAAAAAGTCAAAATTTATGAAAATATTATAAGACCAATTTGCCTCAAAGCGAAAATAATTAGGGTTAGTATACTTAAAAAAATATTTGGGGATATAAATATAATAAACGCACACACACTCCAACACACAATGTATATGACCCACCATGATAATGCCATCTCTAGCTGAAAGAGCAACAATGTCAGCGCATGACACTGTCAAGGGGCATTCTTTCTCAACAGCCGCTTTGATGGTGTTTACGTACTTGAAGTTTCTCATCCCAAAACTTCTCTCCGACGTCTGTTCCGACACTACTCCTCCGCGTGCCGTCGCTAACAGTAGGGAAGCATCGCATGACTGCATGGGAATCCACATATCAAAATTAATTGTTCCATAGTTACTTATCTTGCTAAATATACATTTCTTATTTTGAAACAATATATACCTTAGAAATATAATATAAAATTAGGGTTATATTTATCTTATGTTGTAGAAAAATGGTTGTCTCATATTATAGAAATAAAATTACAAGTGAGACCCACGTATAAGAGAAGAGATAAAAAATAAATATGGGACTCACATCCACTTTATGTGTATAAGAAACTTGTTTATCTTATGCAATATAAGATAAAGATAATCCATAAAATTATTGCCGAGTTATGTTAAAATCATTTCATGATATCGAGTGCATTTCTATAACACAATAACTCTCCTGTTAAGAGCATGTACGTATTCAAGTGATAGGGAATTGTTCCAGCTTAACGAGCGATCAGTGAACTAATAGAAAAATTTCAAAATAAATAAATAAATAAGTGGAGTTATGCATATACCCACCTTGACCATGCAATCATGGAAGAGATTTCTAACCCACGAAACGGCAGTGTTTCCATGCTCGTTATATAGGTCGGTAACTTGTTGCTTGATGATCTCTTCAGCCTTTGGGCAGCTCTTGGAGTAGTAGTTCAGCTGAAGTTGGCTTTTGCCTTTGTATATGCATAATACTTATATTATATAGAAGAATTAATGCAAGTTCAAACCCATATCTATATATAATTATAATTGAAAAATGCGTAACAATCGATATTGAATGTCCATGATTAAGGAACGCACTTGAGTTTTGAAAAAAATACAATTAAGTCACTCAATAATAATCATTTGCAATTAAACTCATGAAAATTCTATGTATACATATTTTTCACCGGATAATGAATACTTGCATCTAAAAATTCTAAAATATTAAAATTGAGAACTATTAGTTACAAATAGAATCAATAATTAATAAATGTATACTTGTATATATACCTTTCGATTATAAGTGGATTCTTCCCTGATATTTACATTATATCTATATTTATATGAGAAAAGTATTTCTCAACTCATAGGAGATAAAATTATCTTTCGGTGAGCTTAAAACGATGTCGTTTTAAAATCATAAGATTAAAAAATTATAATGATAAAGATTAATATAACCTGCAATATATTAGAATTACAAAAACACATTGATTTTCGTCTCAAAATAACATCGTTTTGAACTCACCAGATATAACTTATCTCCGTTGGAGAAAATTTTACCCTATCTATATATATAATATCTAATTAAATCGTTACAGTCTTTTACCGGTTACAATAGACTAGAGAGAGAGAGAGTAATGAAGTAGATGCTAAACGTACCCAAATTGAAGTGTAAGAGAAGCAATAGAAGGAGGAAACAGATATTAGAACGAGGCTTGGTGGTGATGGGGGCCATATTAATTCCTGTGTGAATTTGTGATGTTGGGGTAGGGAATTTGGAAGCGTTATATAGAGCATGGTTTGAGTGCACTACTCAATTAACTAAGGTTTGGAAGAGTAGAACAGAAGTCGTCTCAGGCCGGCACACTTTCCACTACGCAACTTTCTTTGACCTTCAAGCCACGCTCATGCCCCACTAAGACGCTACACCTGCACTGAAGCAACTAGTGCTTATATCATGGATTATGGATGGAACATGTTACAGCATCAGGTTCACTTATACAGAAGGAAATTAAAATTTTAAAAATTAACCGTTGCTTAAAGACAAATCCTTGTTTAATTAACACATAAATTGATGGGTTAAAAGATAAAACAAAAAAATTAAAGAGGAAGGGAAACAAGGGTCAAATCAGAAGAAAGTTTACTAGGTGTAGAGCCTCCTAACATTAGGGAAAATATATGATATCAGATGCCCGAGAATATCATCATTATGAAAGAATGGTATTATGATATTCTTGTAACACCTCGTGTACACTCGGTGTTTTAATATATATATATATATATGTGTGTGTATATGGGTCAGGATCATTTTATACCAATGTAAGTTACACTCTCAATCTTATCCGTTGGTCCCACTTATATCTGAGGGCTCTAATTTTTTTAGTAATGTGAGCCATTGGATACAAGTGGATCAATGGTCAAGATTGAGTGTAAGACTTCTAACTCTTACACCGGTGTAAGAATATCCTATATATATATATATATATATATATATATATATATATATATATATATGATATTAAGCGTAACATGTTCAATAATTAAATGTGAAAGCTCTCTTGCTAAATTACTATTAAATCTAATATGCAAACGTGATTAACTTTTTCTTTTTTCTTAAGTATTACAATTTTCATCGCTTCTTTGGTCAAAATAAAACGGATGACATTTCATTTGAATTTTGGACAATTAGGAATAATTCTCACCATGATAATTCCAAACTGATTGATAGTTTAACATAATCCAGGCATAACACAATATACCCAATAGTCCAACCTAGAATCCATCCATGGATTCATACACGTTAAGATCAAATAAATATACATACATAAATCATATTACCCAGCCATCAATGGCCTAGGCTATCTCTTAACTATCAGATCTCAAAATAATATCCAACAAAAGTTACTTCCATGATTACATCGAACAAACAAAAGAGATGTAATTAAATAAGTAACTTAGACCTGTTCATACATCACTGACAACATATGTATACTATCAACATGGCATAGACATCTCATATGCTCTCCAAAAGAATAACATAACATATACATGTCAAAGATAGTAAAACTCATAAAACATATCATATATATAGTCAAAATGACAGGCTAAATCATGGATATCATGTCAGATAATATCCATATCCCGCCCTCCTACGTGTGATGCCTTAGCACAATCAGCTACTGTATATAAAATTGTAATCCTTATAACATGAGGTGAGATAAGCATCTCAGTTAACTTGGGGTCTTTGGAGGGCTCCTCCACCCTTAGGTTCACTTCAGGTATAATCGTATTATAAAATCATGTATGCATCAGAATATGAGTATCAATACATGTGTGCAATAATGAATCCTACTAGTCGGAGAATATAACAAGCATGCATTACGCAAGGAAAAGTCGCCTTGAAACATACTAAGCATAAGGAATGTCGTCTTATGCCACATTACGGATATACCCCGCACAAGGAAAGTCATCTCGTGCTATATGAACCGTGAGGAAAGTCGTCTCATGCAATGTACAAGAAAGGGCATGTCCCACACAAGGAAAGTTGTCTTGTGTGGCACACAAACATACATACATACATACATATACATGCAATATATAACAGTTCATTTTACAACATACCATATGAAAGTATCATCCTCCCTCAGAGTCTAGTGGAACAAATAGGGGATTAACCCTAAGGACCAAAAGTTTACCTTTGGTGTAGACTTCTTCTATTTTGCTCTTCTCTAGCGTAAAAGCTTTACAATCACAATTTGCCAAACAAGCACAACCTAAGGCATAAATGGAAATTGTGATCGATATCTCATAACACACAGTTAACAAGTCAATGGCTAGAATATTTAGCCATAATTCTATAAACAAACTTACTCTCTTTGAAGGTTTTCCAAGAATTCTAATCTTGAACCATAGGTGGCTCCAATGAGTGTTCTTCTCCAATCATCTCCATAGGAACAATACTACACATACAACACATAAAAACTCCACCATCATGAATCCTTTCCACGTCATAAATACAATGAAACGTAACACATTTTCACGGCAATTTATCAAGGTGGTCCAATCTATTATCTTTTTAATTTTTCTTTAACAAGATATCATTCTACACACACTTAACAAAAGAATCCATGTCTAAATCATCTTCTAACTCATCATACCATCAAATTTTTATTTTACTATTCAGTACAACCCTAACTTTCATGAAAATTCATAAAAACTTAATTTAAGAGGAGATTTCTTACCACAATGGGCTTAACAATGGAGAGAAAGGCTTGCTTTAAGCCTCCAAGGACCCAACCCCGTCAAATCCCCATTTTTCTCCATGAACCCAAAATCATATGGGTAGAAGAACTCTATCCACACTCCAGAATAAGGGTACCAATGGATTCCTCTCAAAATTTCTTTCAAGTTAAGCTTTGGAAGCACTTGATTTGAATGTCTAGAACTCAAGATATGACTTGTGAAGTTTTCACTAAAAAAACTCTCTTCTCCTTTTATAGTCGACGACTTTGCACGAGGAATAAAATAAAATGGGCTGAGTTTTTGTCTTTTTCTTTGTTTTCTTGTTTCACTTATATGAGGTTGCTTGACCCAATGGGTACAAACTTATCTATCTCGCTCACTAGACTCTCATTCCAACTTTACACATTAGTCCATAATATTTTTGTGGTAACATCCACCAATTTAGTTGTAAATTTCAGGTAACTTTTTCTACCCGCATTTTTACCTAAATACTATCTTTTTTTACTCTTTTTCACCAAAGGTGACTTTAATTCACTTTAATTAGACTTTCCATCTAATTACTCTTCAATATTTATCATAAATTTCTTAATCCATAATTACATTTTTGGGTCATTATACTCACCCCACTTTTTTAAGAGCCTGTTTAGATCTCTCTCTATTTTTATAGCTCTTCATTTAAAAAAGGCACACAGTTCAAGAAAAGCATATAAGAGCTTAAAAAAAGCTCCTAGGAGCTTTTAGCTTTTAGCTTTTAACTTTTTCCTTCATTATAAAACATATAGCTTTTCATTATAAGAGTTTTTCTCAAAACCTGTTTGGCCTTGCTTATACTTATAAGTAACTTCTAGTTTTTTCAAAAAAAAAAAGATCCAAACATGCACTAGAATTTTGACTGCAAAATTAAGATCATACTTAGGATATAATCGGAGGATCTCATCCTCACACTTCCAAGTGGCCTCCTAGGATGACCTGCCTTCCCACTGAACTTTGACCACATTAATAGATTTACTTCTCATCCTCTTCTCATCTTTGTCAAGAATTTTCAATTGCCCTACAAGAGTTTTTAAATTCTCGCGTATTTCAATATCATTAGGTTGGACCACATGAGAAACACAAGCTACATGTCTCCTCAGTTGAGAAACATGGAATACATTGTGCAAATTCGCCAATTGAGTGTGCAAGGCAAGCTGGTAGGCAACAGGTCCTACCCTACGTAGAATCTAGTAAGGTCCAATAAATCTTGGACTCAGCGTTCTTTCCCCAAGAGCACGCCTAACACCAGTCACAGACGATAATCTCACAAAAACATGATCTCCCTCATCAAACTCAAAAGGTTGATGTGTGTGACCGTAATAGCTTTTTTGACGACTCTGTGCCTTTTTCAATCGATCTCTGGTCATTTTAACTTGTTCAGTAGTCTTCTGAACCGCTCTTTATCTCCAACCTCAGACCAACAGGTAGGTGTCCTACACCTATGACCATACAAAGCCTCATAGGGAGTCATACCCAAACTAGCATAAAAATTATTATTATAAGAAAATTCCACCAGTGGAAGATACCCATCCCATGAAGGGTATCTCCTAGTGCACAGTGATTTGTTACCCTCAAGGGTATCTCCTTAATAGGTACCTAAGAAAGAGCCCTTAGATCCAAGATAAACACACTAGTCTCTGACTAGATATCTATATCCTCAGAAACACCAATACATTACTTTTTTTCAAAATGTGCGTGTCGGACACGTGTCCGACACGGACACACTCCGACACGCGTCTGACACGTGGTCAACATTTTAAGACACTCTGACACGTTCCGACATGTTTTTTGACACACAGTCAACTTTTTCCGACACGCGGTCAACGTTCCGACACGCATCCGACACGTTTTTTTTACTTCTTAATTTTATTTTATTAACTAAAAATATAAATAAAAAAATTTATAAATCAATTTTTTTTGTTATCAAATTTACATAAAAAATTAACTAGGTACGGAAAATTATTTTTGTTTATATTTATGTTATGATATTTGATATTTGATTGGTTATATGACTTATTATAGGCTGCTATATGTAATAAATATAATTATATTATATATAAAAAATATTATTTAATATCAAAACGTATCCTAATGTGTCAAAATATGACATTTTTTAGAATTAACGTATCGGCCTGTCGTGTCGTGTCCCGTATCAGTGTGAGTGCATCATAGTCTATATCTCAAGGACAGAATATTGGCTCATTTGTAAAAAATAATAAATTCTTATTCCCACCACAAACATGGTGAACACAAGAAATAACAGCTACCAGCAACTACCGATGATGCCGCCTCTGCCACCGCTTGCAATCTAGTCTGAACGGAGCAACCTCTCGATGAACCTGATCCCCGCAATGGACCCAGTTTTGACTACAATATTGTCCACGTTAGTGACGTTATCTCGAACACTACCTCCAACCCGACACTCAATCGACCAGTTCATCTCGCACTAGTCTAGCCACC